ACAAAGTCAGTGGAGGAAGCCCGATTTGCTTAACAATGGAATGATTCACTTAACAACTGAAGCGATTGGCTTAACAACTGTATCAAAAAGATAATGAGGCACAACTCACTTAACAACTGCCTTGTTTAGCAACAGAAATTTTGGGCTCAATTATGGTTGTAAGTCAAGGACTACCTGTACTTATTCTTTAGTAGAAAGACACATTTTGTTAAAACTGTAGGAAGTTGCTGTCCACTGGAAGATTATTTTGCTCAGATTAAAGGACATAACTGCTTGATATCATAAAGTTGAAAAGCAAATCAGGTTTTTTTGAAGTTAAAAAAGTCATTGGATGTTCTTAGATCCTGTTTGTCCTCCCTTGTGTCTCCCCAGAATTACATATTTGTTTATTCATGCATGAATACACCTGTATGATAGGACACTTAGTCCCATTTCCATGCTTTCTTCCTATGGGAGAAGACCAGTTAAAATCCCTTTTCCAACTCCTCTCCACTGATGTACAAATAATGCTTGTAGTAAACAACAGAGATAAAGACTCCAAACATGCTACTATCAAGCAGTTTCCTTCACCAAGGAGCCAACCGAATCAGTGTCTGTCTTTACCAGCTATCCATGGTAACTTTAAAAATAAATATAAGGCTATGCATCATATTAACATATGGAAACTTTTATTTTAAAAAATAAGCATTCTTGTCCATTGAGTAGGAATCATAGCAATCCTGCACTTAAAGTTCCGTATTTTGACCCCATGGAGTAATCTTTCCCGCCTTGTGTTCATTGAATGTGTTGGGACAATAACTCTCAGAATTCCCAGCTGACAGGAAGTTGTTTTGAAGAATAGATTTGGACTTTTTTCAATCAATTATTGATGGACAGAGCAAGAGGTCTCTTCCTGGAGATCTTCCAGCAGAACCTAGCTACTCTTCTGGTAGAGATTCTTTAATTTTAGGTTTCCTGCTCTGAAAGTTGGCCCCTTCCAAAATTCAGGATTCTGTTTTACCATTGTGATAATGGTGATCATCACTGAAACCCTTTTTTTATCCTTCAAATGTAAATTAGGCAGTCATATGATGTGATTGTGTTTACATCTAAGGCAGAAATGTATTAATTGGGCATTCGTGCCAGCATTCAACAGAATTACAGAATAACAGTGTTCAAAGGAACCTTGGAGGTCTTTTATTCCAACTATTTCAGACAAATATTTGTCCAATTCTTCTTAAAAGTGATGGAGCACCCACAATTTCTGAAGGCAAGTCATTCCACTGATTAATTTCTCCAGGTTGGTTTTCTCCTTGATTAGTTTCCATCCATTGCTTTTTGTTTTGACTTCAAGATAATGGGCATCCCAATGTTTTTGGGTTAAAAATAAATGTTGTTTTCTATCAAATGTCACCAGCCATCAAAAATAGAAACCTCTCAAAAGGAGGGCCTCTAAATTTGGGTTTTGTGTCACCGTTGCTCCTGCAACTAACAAGTCCAACTTATTTTATAAGCAGCTATTATTACCACATGAATCTTAAATGGGCTTTTAAAGTAGAAATTATCACAGCGCCCTGTTTGTTTTGAGTCAATGACAACCAAAACCAAAGGGTAGACACATCCTATGTATTGGTGCACAAGTAAGAGAGTATATAATACTCCTTATAATTGCCTATAAAGTGCACAATCTGGTCTTATTAGTCTGGATCTTGGAGCAGATGAGGATGAAAATCTAAAATATATGGAGGGCAACATATAGCTTTCTAACAGAATATAACATGTGCACAATGTATATGATCTATAACTAAAGAAATGCCAAAAAAGCAGTGGTGTGCAGATTAGTCTATAAACTGGCTGGCAAATAGTTACTGTATTAGAGTTCCCAGTTTACAAAAGTATCCACAGAGGGTGAATGATGGTAAATATGAAGCAAGTATTATGCTGTTACAACACTTGTTTATCATTTTTGGAAAAAAATATCAGATCCTACATGTGCCTCTAGTTTATATGGAATAGTGTGAACTTGTTTGGGATAAAACTAGATTTTGCTTGTTTGTAGCATAGCATTCTGATTAAAATGCACCTAAACTGACTGGCACTATAGTTAACATTAGGAGAGAATACTGCAGGGGCCAAGAATTAAGTCTGGTAATTTAGTCTATACCTTTCTTATTAAAGTGTTAAATAAAAGCTTCACTGACCAAAGCTATGATGGGCAGCAGAGTTCCATATTTAAGGAACCATTTAGTGAAAAACCATGTAACATTGAAGGCTATAATTTGGAATGTAATGTAAGAGGAGTAAATGGCAAAGAGCATGAATTAACAAATGAAATGAAAGAAACAAAAATATATTGTATTTTGTGGGGTATCTGAGGAAACTAAGGAAGGTGATTTGATCTTACAGAGCAGAATTGATGAATGTATTTAATTATCAAAAAGATAAATTATATATTAGAAAGTATAAATTGGTGACATCTAGATTGAAGTGGCTGTCTACGATAGAAAGAATCCATTGGGTGCAATTGTTGCATGTTGCATTTTAGCTAATGGAGATAATGAAAGAATTGGATACAAATTTGGAGTAAAATCGTGAAACATTATGAATGTAAATCAAAAACAAAAATTTATTCTGCTAGGTGACATGAACTGATGGATGGAAACGAGATTACAGGAACACCTGATTCAGCTGTAGTACGGGTGTATTCTTACAATAGATAATAAATTGGATGACGTCCAAGATCTCTTTCAACTCTTACATTTTGATATGATTCATTTGGAGACCCAAAAAGAATGAGGGTTAGTTGGCATCAACTGTTTTTAAAAAGTGTGTTTTGAATATGTAGCGTAAGCATGATTTTATCATACTGTATGTAAGCAAGACGAAAGGTGTTATTGCTTATGATGAAAGGACACAAAGGCAATGAATTGTTCTGATTGTGGGACAAACCATATCTTAGTAGTGTCAAGTGTGAACCTGGGGAGCATGGAAGATGAAAGAAATGAAGAAAAAGAGAATTGTGGGATGAAAGGGTATACATCCTCTGCCAAACAAAAGTGTTAGAAAGTCAGTTACTTCCCAATGAATTGAATAAAAAGTGCACATAAGGAAAAAGAATTTATAATTTGTTCAGAACAGAGTGCTACAGAAGTGTGTAGATGATAAAATAACTACAAAATAAGAGAAAAATAGTTGCAAAGAATGTAGTCAAAGACAAAAAAAATGGTTAAAACTAAGAACTATTTTAATCGAACTAAACACATTCTTTGGAAGTAGATGAAAGGACAGGACAAGGAGCTGGGTGGAATTAAAATAAATACCTGTATGAAATAGCAAAATGTACAAACTGTCGGGGAATTGCTAAGAGTACTTGGCAAAGTTCTGACTGAAAGGTTTTAAGAGGTGATAAAGTGCATATCTGGGGAAGCAGAGTGTGGATTTATGCTAGGCTTGTTGTGTGCAGATTCAAGAATGTGATTCATCTGGTTGCTCCCAATACTTCTTGGAGGAAAGTTACAGCATTCTGGAATGGACTTTACTACAGTTCTAGTCCTGACTATTCTGAGAAGCAGCATCACAGTCAGATATTTCATAACACATGTTAAATTAGGTGATGTAATCTCGATGGCATTTTCACTATCCTTAAGAGTATCGAGTTGAATGAATCATTTTCATTTTTAAAATGTCCTTAGTCTTCAAAGGTGGTTGAAGTTGGATTTGGAATCAGTTACCCAAGTTCAAAATAAAGTCCTGCCGCTGTGCCCAATATTTTACTGTGTGTCCAAGATAGTAAGGCGGCATAACTTCCAAAGATTGTGGCAAAAATATGCCTACGCACTGTGGAGCCCTTAGCTATTACATGCTATGTAAACAATATTTCTCACACAAAACATGCCAATGTTAAACTTCCTCTCCTCAAATTCTGAGAATGAGCTTACTCTGTGTACAGAAACTCTGATGTTCTAACAAATCAGATGCCAAGCTGCTACATTTTAAATTAACATATATTTTACTATCTCAATCACAGCAATCTCATACAGTAAGTTACACATAAAAATATATTTAGCATAGTATCACATTTTTCTGAACTACAGGTATTTCATTATAAGTATATACATTGGACTGTTTCATTAAAAGCAAGATAGTTAATCCCTGCTAGGTTCACTGTATAAATTACGTGGCATCACAGTTTTTAGTTAGTGTTATGTGAATAACAACATGGTATCCAAAACAAGAGAAAATTAAAAACTATATAGTATAGAAGCCAGCTAATATCAGCCATGATGCTTTAAAAGGTTAAAGAGAAACTCAATACAACAAAATAAACTATACAGGCAGATTCTTTAGAAAGACTAGATTTGTTTTAAATTTGACATTATATACACATTATTGTATCTACAGGTATATTAATATATACTGATAAAAGCCCATCTATAATTTTGAAAACCTTAATAACTCACATAAGCAATGATTATATTAAGCTTTCTTTGTTGGTGGGAAATAAAATAAAATAGAATGTAGAATGTAGAAAGCCATTTTGATCCTTTTTTCGGATTTTCTTGAGCGTATATCCTTGTTTTGATATTATTTTGCTGTGGCAACTTTCTGTAACAATCATTTGAAGATGTCATTAATGACAAAAAATGTCAGCAAATGTACAAATATTTATTGAATCCCCTTTGAATTGCTGCCCACCCTTGCTAATCTTCTTCCCACCAACCCCTCCCTGCACACTGATAATGTAATCACTGGCCATTCATATAAGTTTCATCACATAAAAGGTGAAAGGATTATATTCTTACAAATCCTAGAATCAACAACCATGCTCTTAAAATGTACAGTTTTAGGTCAAGGATAATGTTCCACAGAATTCAGAATTCAATGCAATGGCATAAAAAGGCTACATAAATGTTAGAGTGACACCTTGATACACTTTGGAGCTAGATCAAATTATGCATTTAAATCTGCCTCCAGGACAGAGAAACCTTCATGTCTGGCAACAGCATTAACTCCTCTCACTTTTTTTTAATATAACCAAATTGCAGTGGAGTGCAGCTATGCAGAGTGTATGTAAACTACTCCCAGAAGTGTGAATGAGAGACAGCATAAGTAAATGTGTGTGTGCTCAACTCTTTCTAATATTGAGTTTAAAGAAAGGTGAAGTTATGTATCCAAATGTTTCTGATTCAGGAAGCAGAATTTCATCCAGTTGGACGGAATAAAGAAAACTGATTTACAGAAACAAGTCTCTATATTAATGGTAATTTGCTGCGGGTCAAATAAAGTACAAAGTAAAATGTTATCTGAAAAAATAACCCAGAGACTTCAATTACATGATCTTACCCATTTTCAAAAGACCACATACTGAATATATTTATTAAAATAAACTACTTCCAAATTATTTACAGTAAAAATAAGAATCTGATACATGTGCAACAGAAGAATCATCGTTGATTATTAGAAAACAGAGCACTCCAGGCATAATGTAACACATACAAAGTGACATCTTTTGAATACTAGAACAGTCAAACAAGAGGAAGTTTTGGCAATGTGGACAATAAAATAAACATTCAGTTTAAAATCTAATGTATATTTTTGACTGGAGCCCAGGAAATGTATGTAAACTTCATTTAAAAAAAAAATGAGTGTGGAGGGGACGAAGTAAGAGTAAACATATGTGTGAATATTTTGTATAAACTACAAACAACTTTACAATGATATGAAATGTTCTTCTGGTTCTTAAGTTGCCCTTTTATTCTGGTGCTATGTTACATAAATGAGGCAAAACCAGCAATAAAAGAACTATGACTTTTTTTTTAGCAAAAGAAAGTAAATTGATTGCCTGGTTCTGAAAAAACAAACCAACAAAAAGAAGTGCTTCTCTTCCTCATCTAAATGGAAAAGCAACTAAAAGTTGCCTAAAAAGAGTAGCAGCATCAACTACACTATAAACCTGTATAAAACCACATCATCGGGATTGGCACCTATGCTGTATATACTATTAATAGGGCATATCTGTTTCTCTTCTCTTAAAAGTTTGCTAAAATACTTATCAGCATATTTGTGTTTTTAGCCCTTTTACCCCAAAATAAAGGATTCTGAAAAAATATTTTTTTTAAAAAAAAATTATCTATAAACCAGGTGCGAGAGCGGATTTGATTTGTAGTTTAGTTGATTGTTTGGCAAAAACCTGTGAACCTCACTTTTTCGACAACAGGGATCATAATTGTAAGCGTTGAGGCAAGCATCACAGGAAACTTTAGAACAATAAGTGCATGTGTTGGTAGCTCCTGAACGGTTGCAAAAGCCACAGCGAGAAGAACCCAAAGCTTTGGATTTCGAACTGTGAGATGCTCGCTCTTGAGTCTGTAACATGTATTGTGGCTTCTCCCTTCCAGAAGATCCAGACGTACTTTCACCTGAAAGTGATTTGAGTGAATAGTTGCTTTGTTTTATTGCTGGACATTCTTGTCTGCAGATGAGCACATTGTCACATTTTTGGCAAATGGAGGTGCTGCAAGATAATCCGCAATTTTGGCACTTAAGGGAAGAGGTCTCTTTGGCTAGATGTGCACGTTTATGGTAACTTGGATTGGCATAATTTTTGAGCAGCCATACATCATGTTTAGAAGACTCTTGTCTTTTAAACATGCTTCTAGAATCAGGGTCAGTATATAAATCTAAATCATCTTGAGGGGAATAGTAAGTACCAAACGGCATACCTGTTCTTAATATGCCATTGGTGTGGGATGAAATTGGTAAATATTCTTCAGTACATCCATGTAGAGAACTTGACATGGCTAGGAGGGATGGTGATGGTCGAATTATTTCATCTCTAATGTCATCTTCAGTATCAACCAAAATGGGCTCTTTCCGGAAACTCAATGATGCCATCAAAGGTGGCTTCTTACTATCCAAGTAATTATCATATGTGTCCACTGATTTAGAAGGCTTGCTAACTTTGGGTTTGAAATAATCTTTAGAGCCTCTTTCACTGGCAGATTTCTGAAGTACCATTCGTGACATGGAAGTGTTTAGATTCTCTTTGCATTCAGCACGGCGTTTCAAGGCATCTGAACAGCCACGAACATCATCATTGCTATTTTTTCTCTCCTTTACAATGTCAAGTTCAGAATAACCTTTTTCCTTCACCTGCAAGTGAATTTCAATCAACTGTTCACATTCTGTTTTGGCCAGAAACAGTTCAAATGATACCATCTTGACTTGAAAGGTATCAACCAGGTCTTTGAGCTTATACATAGTTCCAAGTTCTTGAACGTATCCCATCAAGTTTAATATCTGTTTTATATCCTCATCAGATAATGTAGACTTTACATAATAAACAAAAGGTCCTGTATAAGTCTAAAAAAAGGGAAGAGAAAATATTTATGCATATATTAATGAAGCCAAATATAATTTTGAACTACTTATATATATATATATATAAAACACTTCAAGAGATGTCTTAGACTATAAAGACTTCTTGGGCACTATCCAAAAGAACTGTATTGATAAACTATCAAACTTAATATTAATCAAATATTAAGCCATATTAATTTATATCACAGTACATCAATATCAATAATATGATAATCAACCTCAATAATTGGTAAATTGGGTTGTAGATTCAAACTGAAGCCAAACTTTATTCTAGTGGTGAATTATCAGTTAAGAGCGATAAAGCATTTTGGAACTGAATGCTGTTTCAGAAAATTCTTGGGAGTGAGTAAATGGGATAACTAGAGATTTTTTTGCTCCTATTATTTTTTATCAGAACCAGAGGTTGCTTAAAGCTTTTCTATAACGGACACTGAAATTCAAAGAACATTTGACAACAGGAGTTGAAACTTTACTCATTTAGCAACCATAACTGGGCTCGGCAACTCGATCTTTAAGCAAAGCAGTTGCAAAGTGAAACTTCATCTGTTTATGATCTTATTTCACTTTTCTGTCACTTTATAGACCTGCAAAGGTCATAAATGCGAGGATTGGTCATAAAGTCACTTTTTTAACCACTGAAACTGAGAACAATTGCTAAACAAGACATTTTCTAAAGAAGAATTGCCTGTCTTACTAGAAGTATAGCATCAGCTTAGATTTTGGAGACTCAGGCCCAAGATACGGTGGTTTATCAACTTCAGTGTTATAAAAGCCTTTTAGTAGGGACAGAAAACCTGTGATACTCCTTCATCACTAACAAGGGTGGTTGGGATTGCTAGGAATTGAAGCCCATCTGTATCTAAAGGGCCATAGGAATTTTTTAATCTCTCCTTTACACGGAAGGATCAGAATACCATTCATTCAATTTTACTTCCATGTAAATGTCAGCATTACCAGGAAAATCTGGGATAAAAACATCTGTGTTTCCCTTGAGAACGTATTGTAGTCCACTTTTTAAAATCTTTGATGAAATATTTCTGCCAAAGAACTAACAGGAGAACATTACCGAATGTTCATATGTCAAATTATATTTCTCATCTGCATCTTATTTTTAAAGCATTTTCATTTCCTTTTTAGAAAAGAACAAAGAAAATAAGAAGTCAGCAAAAAGGATAGATAGCGCAATGCCTTGGTAATATGAAGCACTATGGAAGATTCTTCAGAAATTTCCAAGAAATTCAAGCATACTATACTTCGTTTCCCAAATATGATATATTTGTACAGGCTTACCTTTATATTTTTGAATTCCTTCTTCCAAGGGTAAAGAAAAAGATTAATTCCAACTGATTCTAGCACTTCGAATGCATTCTGGAGTGAATGCAAACTTGAAGCTCTCAAGGATCGAAGTGAATTTTCAGCAATTTCATAAAACTTAATTAACCGGAATCTATAAAAGGGATCAATCTTGGGAAAGCAGAGTAAAGCTGAAGCTGCCATTTGTAGATTGGTAACTGGGCACGGCTTTCTGTCAGAGGTATCCAATTTAGACTCATGGAACTGGACATATTTTCTAAATACTTCGTCTTTGTATTTTGTATCCATCTGGAGTTGGATTTAAGCACGCTCGTGGGCGGCTATCTCATCTCATTCATGGCTCTCTTGAAGCCCACTGATCAAACAGGCAATGTAAGACTGCAGTGGAATAGATTCTAAAAGAAAAGAAAAAAACAAATTACATCATAGTGTCATTTAAATTTCATCAAAAGTATTTTCAACTATTTTTTCTGTCCTATAGAACTAAAGCTTTTTTGAGGATTCCTTTCATTTCAGAATTAAGTATTTCACATGAATCAGCAGAAAGAAAGAATGCTGATTTTTTATCTGGGCCTAAGGGGTTCTCCAGTACTATTGTTGATTGATACCTGATTTTAATTTCATACAGATAAAATAGAATGAGAAGATACTTCAGAAAGGCAAAAAGGCCTACTAATTATATAGCACATAGTGGGTTCAAAATGTTTATTCTTAGCATGTCAATTCTAAACTGTATTTTTACTAATCATTGCAACTCTGGGGGAAAAAAACCTTTGTTATCCTCAGTAGGGGTAGATACAAAATTTGTCATTTTGATGCAAGCGTACCAAATTTGTACTTCCCAATTATATATGCAAATTGAATATACCACTATGCCAGTCAGAATTATATGAATTTTGTGATGCAATGTGTAACGGCATATGAACCCACATACATTAGGAAATGCTCTCCATAAAAATGTCCTTTTTGTAAATGTGCATGCAAATTTGTTTATATTAGGCAAATGTTCATACTTCTACAATATAGAGGAACTGAAGGTTGCAAAAATGAAAAAAAAAACCTATTAAAAATGAAAAAGACATGTTTCATATCCCTAATCTTTAAGCAATCCAATAAACCTTTCTTGTTCTCTTTTGAGAGACAGAGAGCCGCAGCTAATCTAATCTGGATAACAAAGTTACTTATAGCTGTTATGCAGATTTTCCCCACCTTCATCTACCTATTCAAAAAATCCCACTGTATATTGGTTTTAAGAAATATTCTATGGGATCCTGTTTTCTAAGAACCGTTTAACATGGAAAAATGTTGTTTGGTACAATACAGAATGGCCAATATTTAAAATACCGATGCGGTGTAAAAAACCCCCAAATGTATGGTTATAAGATAGTAGATACTAGCTAATAGCTTTATATATAGCTATCATTAAGTCTTTTCCAAACATGGTTTACCTGACTGTATTAAAATAAGTACCTACAAAAAGAATGATTACATCTTGAAAGCTATTTAAAGAGAAAAAAAATCCAAGCACCCATAAAAATCACAATTCTTTCCTGTCTTTTCATTGGAAGCAAATCCCATTCCTTCAGTGTGATCACTGCTAAGTGAAATTGCATCAGGTTAGACCACAGTTGTAATACAACTCACAAATGACATAAGATAATTAAATTGCAAACGAATATTAACGATTATCACCTTTATATCCTGCTGCAATTGTATACAGACTCCCAATGACTGACAATGTGAAAACAATAGCAATACAAATAAAAAATAGAAAAAATAGTAAAACATGAAATAGCATACAATTCAGGTAGGATGAGGGATAAGCCTTAAAACATCCTCTTGAAAAGGTGTTTTCAGGAGATTCTGGAAGGTGGCTAGAGTTGGGGCCAAATGCATTTCTCATGACAGAACCATTACAGAGGGTCAGTCCAATGACAGAAAAACAGTGCCTTTGGGCCTCAGCGTCCCTGATCACATGAAAAGGGAGGGAAGGGTAGGGGCAACTACATTATGAAATAACAACAGTAAGAACTACAGAATAATAGGTTGACTCAGCCTTCCATCCTTCAGAGGTCTTTAAAAGGAGGACCCAGATTGTTGGGGGCACTATGCTGACTCCATAAACTGCTTAGAGAGGGCTGTAAAGCACTGTGAAGCGGTATATAAGTCTAAGCGCTATTGCTATAATGCAGTATGTTTCAAAGGATCAAGACAGGCTTTATAACATTCAAAAAGTCTACAGTTCAAATCTTATTTGATTTGAATTGTTCTATTTTGACTAGACTAGTTTTTATCATAGGTGGGGCAATTTTATCACACCCACACAGAAGTCCCACAAAGTTCAACAGGAATTAGTCCAAGTTTAAAAACTGAAACCTTACACCTGATTAAAAATCTTGAATAAATACTTTTGTTTAAATTGCTTGTATTTTTTTTATCTCACTTCTCATCAACAGTCTCTAGACTTATCATCATTCAGATGTATCATTTATAATGTCTCTACCACTGGGCAGAAACTTGAAACTGATCACAATAGGATTACTCAATAGGTTTAAAAGATAGACATTAAAAAGGTTCCTCCATCCCAGAACATAAACACACCCGCAAAAGAGAATTTTTGATGTTGTCTCCAATACTATGCAATCACTTCAAATATTCAATTTCCATTAAAAAATGTTATTTGCCAAATAAGTACTTTTATTTAGCCTCAGGTTTATCTATTTTTCACCCAGTTATAAGGGTAGCCATTTTAAATGCCTTTCAAATTCTTAATTTAATTAATTAAAGCTTAGTAAATATTTATGGAAAACTGGCAAACTCCTCATACTTCCCACAGTAACAATATTTTGAATTCCTTATATAACTTTTTCTAGTTTTTGTGTGTTTGTTCATTGTCCACAAATATCAGCATACTAAGGAAAAGAGAGGGAGTATGAGAGAATGTATTGCCTAGGTTTATTAGTCTGATTCTAAGTCTTATTTCTCAGTAACACCCATTCTTTTATCCAGACCAAACACCAGGCTGCAAAATACAATTTCAAATCTGGTAAACCCAATTGTCCTCTTTCCTTTGCATATTGTAACACTTTGTATTTAACTTGCCACAGACATTTATACACCCACACACATATTACTGCTTGAATGTACAGGAGTACCTTCATTTTCAAATGAGTATTGTCTAAAATAGAAACATCATTCTAGGCAAAACATTTTTATCACAGAATTTTTTTCTAACAGTGACAATTTTAATTTCTCCCACCATAACATCTTAATTTCACTCTTTCTCTTAATGTAATTATTCTGAAATAATATAAAATTCATATTTATCATAATAACGCCCAAATTATTAGGCTAAGGTGGAAATTTGAAAAAACAAAATTAAAAAAGGTTATGGTAAATTATAGATTATAGTACACTATTTCTTTACCATTGCCAGCAAAATTATTTGGCCACGACCATGGCCACTATCACCAGACGTTAAATATAACTCAAGGGGGAATTTACTTTTAGCTTGACTACTGATGGATCAGATCAGAGTTAAGATAGCATTTTATGATTCAATACCTAGATGTATTTGAGAAGTTCAGAAACACACACAAAGAAGGGTGTTAAATCCATTCCACCATTGCTCTGCTGCAACTATAACTTTCTTACAATACTTTTATAATTTCTTTCTGACCATCCAACTATATTCTAAAAAATAAATCAATTAACAGCTTACCTAACACTAATCATAGCACCACAGATGGCCATGCCCAAGCTATCTTGGCTGATTGCAAAAAAGCTAGTAATCAGAGCTGATTATTTGGAAAGAAAAGTATTGTATTGACTCCCGATAACTGCCTGGACAATTCCCTAAAGTTTTTGTGGGTGGTCGACTGAGCATTCAAAGAGTAGATTGAATGAATGCAATGTAAAGGCACTCTTACCACAGCCAAAACATTTGAAAAGACAAGTGTTCCCCATTTAAGAAGAAGCATACCCTTTCCCAATATATGGCTGCACAAATAACAGTGGAGGCTCCTTTTTAATGAAGAGTTTATTAGCTGCAATATATCTTCACTCATCCGGCCTCCAAGCACGGGATCAAACTGAACAATGAAAATTGTGATTAGGAATCAACGAGAAAAAGTCTCCCTTATTTCAGTACTTTTTTCCATCCACCTTAATCTACATCACATAGAAGCTGCAGCTATTATGGATGGCAAGCAATGCTTCTCACCCGCCATCTCTAGTGGGACTTTGTCTCCCTTTTTATTACATCTCTGTAAAACCCAAAAGAGCGACTAGGAAACGCAGACGGGGAGCCAATATCGTATTTATTCACTGGCCCACCAGACCCCCTTCTGGACCTCTCACCGCTGGGCAGCTGAGGAAGAATAGGCTCTCCCAAACATCTAGCTCTCTTCCTTGGGGATACACGGAGCCAAACCAATCCGCGACCCCAACCAGCAGCCACATCCAATGACGCTCAAGGCGAACCTACCCTTGAGTAAAGCCTAGGACCCGACCGCCTGCTTAGCTGAGCCTCTGACCTCCCTCTTGGCTTTGAGCCCACCGACTCTTCGCCTCCCCCACCATGCAAACTGCGGGGATCCGGCAGCAACAGCCCACCTAAAACCACCGACCAGCAACCGCCTTCGACACTGGCCAGACCGGAAGACACTCAGGACCCGGAAGAACAATCTCTTCTGCTTCGCTCTCGTTCGCTCTCTCTCTCTCTCTCCCGGCCCCCCGGCCTTCTACAGAAACCCGGAAATGGGATTCGTCTTCGTGTCTTGCCGCTGACGCCTTTTTGCTGAGGGCGCAGGCGCAATTTCCCAGGGCTCACAGAGATACTGACACGGGTGACGCGCGTGTAGGCGCATGCATATGATTTCAGTGTCCATGGAGATTCTCAGTCATTGGGACTATGATTTTCAATTTGCGCTCGCTCTGCTGTATTTGCTTTCCAAGCTGAAAGGATGGAAACTGTTGACTATCCAAGACAATAAAAATGCATTGTCGCCTACGTTCCTGAGAGCTTCCTAAATCTTCCTATAAGAGGAGCAGATAAGAACTTCAGTTTTCAGCAACTCTAGCTAGAATGGCCAGTTAAAAAGGATTCTGGGACACGAACTCACTTCCTGTCGTGAGCTCCAGCTGTCTTGAGAATTGCAGTCTAACATCTGATAGTACCAAGTTGGAAGAAAAAGTTACTGGTGGGAAAATGACTACGCTGAGGATATATTTTTGAACAGGGGAACGAATGACAATGTGCATTGTGATTTTACAGTGCAAGGTGTTTATTACTTCCATCTGATGTTGGAACCATGAAAAATACAGGTTTGTGTCAGAATGCACATTTTGTCATTTTTTATTATCATGGTTTGCACTTATGGTAAGGGATAGTGTTGAATCAGAAAAAGCCAACCATATTGTGGGAACCCAGTGTGAATTAATGTTTAGAGGGGTGTGCAAATTAAGAGAAAAATACACTATGTAATTACTGGATTGGATATACGTAAGGGGTTATGTATATATATATGTGTGTATCCATATAGTATTTTTAACATACTGTAACCTCAAATGAAAGCCCTCAAATGCAATTCTGCTGCTACGGAATCTTCTTGAGATGCACTCTGACAATATACCTTACAGTACTGATTAAAATGCCATCCTCTCTTCAGTCCTGTTTTGGAATCATGGTGAATAGAATGCTTTTTATATTTCTCAGTGCCTTCGGTAATGGTCTTCCCTTGCAATTGTTCTCTATCAAAAGGATTATTTTACAAACCATTAGAGAAATGTACCCAAATACATGTGGTCAATGTATGGGTGTGTGGAAGGAGGGCTATTTCATTCTTGGAGCACTGGAAATATTCAGTGAGGGGCCAGCTTGATAGAGTAATACTGATGTTCTTTACGCCTGGCCATGTACTAGTTTGGATTGAGCAGTGATTGGCTGACAGTACTTTCTATGAGTTTCATACAGGCTGAAATTATTGGAGATCTACAGATGGTAAGGACAATATGAAGGAATTAAATATTGGTTTCACAAGCTAAATCTCAACCTCTGTAGTTTATCCATAGTAGTTCAGAGGCAACAGCCGAATTTGGGGAGAAAAGAGGATATATTTGTTTCAATACAATCAAAATTCTGTTACATAAATGAAAAATGTGAGAAAGCAATCCCATTAATGTTTATATTTTTGCATCAGAAGGTACAAAGATTTAGTCGTTAGATCAATTGACAGATGTTACCGTTCTACACAAAATACTCCAAACCCCACGAGTAACAACATAAGTAAAATATTAACACATTATCCATCTCTTAAGCTGATATCAAGAAAACATCCAACAACCCTTTTGGATATTTTAAGTGCTGTTTTCCCTGAGGCCAGAGACAAATGTTGAATATTTAGATAATCTCTAAGAATGTCTGCAGAGAGGTAAGTCCATTTTAGCATTTTAATACTGAGAAAAATTGTTCTGCTTTTAAGGGGCTTTTTACAATATTTGTCCCCGGCCTAGTTCTTCCTAGATGTGTTGAACTTCTACCAATCCCAACCAGCAAGCCCATGCTAAATGTGGAAGATGGGAACTGAAGTCCAATGCATTGAGAGAATACATGGCTGGAGTAAAGTTTTTCCACCCGCTTTGTTCTGACTCTACCTCAATGCTTGTGATTAGTGGCCTGAGGATGTATATGCCATTCTGCTTTGAATCATCCACGTTGTAACTCTTGAATATTTCCTCTGCTTATGACCTGTAGCCCATAGGTCCGAGGTTCTACCACTACCTACCTCTCTCACACAGGGACACGCAGTGGTGAGAGTTGGTCTTGTTTTGTATATTTGCCTGTTGCTTAATCAGGGATCCTACTATTGAATGGTTGCATCGCATCTCATTAAACTTTATCATGGTTTGTTGAATGAGCTACATTTGCTAATACAGAAGCTCACTGAATCGAACTTAGACCCTCTCAGTCCGTTCTGGCTTACAAGGTTCGCATCTCTGTCACGTGATCCACTTCGATATCTTCTCCGCCCCCCCGCCCCAGCTTTTAGCCCAGTGTTTCTCAACCTTGACAATGTTAAGGCATGTGGACTTCAACTCCCAGAATTCCACAGCCAGCATTGCTGGCTGTGGAATTCTGGGAGTTGAAGTCCACATGCCTTAACATTGTCAAGGTTGAGAAACACTGTAAAAGCCTGTCTTGATTTCTAACCACCCGCGCGTCGCTCTCCCCACCTCCGCCTTGACATCAAACGAGCCCTCCTAGGCGTGCGCCTGCGCATTTTTCCGTTGTCGCGCGTGATAGGCGCGGCCAAACTAGATCTGGCCCTTTGAGGCCGCCGTCGTTGCATGTGCTGTAGTTTCGCGGTAGTCCTTCTGTGAGACTGCCAGAGTGGCTTCGCGGAAGTCATTCTGGAAGATGGCGTTGGCCGAAGCGAATGCTCGGTTGCCGGAGGGTGCGACTGGGGAGCGAGCGGATCCGCTTTCTCGCTTCACTTGCCCGGTCTG